TATTATATAATTTATTATATAATATATAATATCTTATATAATATATAATATTTTATATAATATATAATATTTTATATAATATATAATTCTTTATATAATATATAATTTTTATATATTATATAAAATATATATTATATAAAAAATTATATATTATATAAAAATTATATATATAAAAGATTATATATTATATAAAAAATATATAAATATATAAAATATTATATATTATATAAAAAATTATATATTATATAAAATAGTATATATTATATAAAATATTAGGCCTATATATTATATAAAATATTATATATTATATAACGTAAAAAAACGTCATTTTTAGCTAAATAATAAGTGAACAGATGGCGCCTCATATGTGATATATGATTTTAAACTGCTAAAAACCCATGTACAGCACACACCTGATATGCCAGACATATCAGCCCTATTTATATGCTTTAGTGATTGTATTCCACTCACAGAAACAATACTGTAATGTGAACATTCCCAACCAGTGGAGTCCAGCTGGTCTAATAAAAGCAGGGTCACATGCTCATGCTTGGGCGGATGCAGGGGTACGCAGACATGTTGACTTTCAGGGAATGAAAGAGAGTAGAAATTTTCTCCAATCAATCTATTCTTAAGCATGTTAAGCTCTCTCTTGACTATCAAATTTCATTTGACAAGGCATACCTAAATATGGTCATGATGACATCACATCATGACCATGTATAGGCATATCATGACTATATATGGGCAATCAACAGTGTTTTTTTACAAAGAAAATTTTATAATCTGGACATATCTTTATAAGGCATTCATTGCAAACTTTCTATGAAAGTCATGTGCAGGCGCGTAACAGAGGTCTATACAACAAACAATACGACATAGGGCTTATCTTATTTATAATATAGGCCACGCACGTGTGTTTGGAACTAAATATAAGCATTTTCATCATAGTTTTATTTATTACAAACACATTCCTTCACCCTCAATACACATTGAGGCTCTTCTTTTAGGTAAAATGATCTATCTTAACTGTTCTTTTCTTTGATCTAAACTCCCTAAATTGTGCAATTTTTTTGAGAAAATTGGCCTACTTTAACAAGAAATGCGTACGAAGCATGCGAAATTTGAGATTTTTAGGCACTTTCAGGGGATGAAAAGGGCATCTTCAAGATTTTCCACAGATAGATATTTTCCCCTTGTCCCCCGGTGGTTCCGCCACTTGAATATCTGGCGGCTTAGATCAAAGGAGGTATGGACACTTTTTGAAGTGGAGAAGGGGTTGCCGGGTGTTGTGAGTCTGGTCATTATAATATCTTCCTTTATTCTTGTCTTTATTTTTCTCTTCTCTTTTCCTTTTTCGTTTCCTTTTCTTTTCCCCTTCTTTCTCTTTCCCTCCCTCTCCCTCTCCCCTCTTTCTTTTCTCTTACCCAGCCCGGTACGATGGCTTGGTCAGCTTGGGGGGGGGGGGGGTGGGGCATTAGTTTTTACAAAACCATATGACATGCCTAAATATGGTCATGATGAGATCACATAGTAACGTCACATGATGACCATATATAGGTATGCAGCAGTTTTTTTTCAGAAAAAAAATATCATTCATAAAGGACAAAATCTAGGAAGACTATTGATTTTTCTCGTACTTTTCTTTATATTGTTGGTGGTGGTGGTAGAACTATATATATTAATTAAATAAATGAATGCACATAACAAATTAAAATAGTGGGGAGGATAATGCTATGCAGTATTGTCAAGCGTAGCGGAGTAGTGTTTTTTAAATATCTCCAAAGTTTATGTTACCCTTACTTGGTTTGCCAGTATATTTAATTTCACATAATAAAAAGTTTGACTTGTCGTCTTTGAGAATGATTTGTAGTTGTGTCTTCAATTGTATCCTAACGTTTTGTCCACACTATCAAATATAAGACATATATCTGTGATTTGCCCATGATGATGTCATGATACTTCCATTTATGGGCATATAACACCCATAATTATATGGGGAATTAATAGTGATATAGTATATTGCAAACAGACTTTTAAACACATATGATTTGCTATCGATGATGTCATATAATACTGTACTCGTAATTGGCATATATTATCCATTTATAGGCAATTCACACCCATATACAATATGTTCATTAAATGGTGGAAATTGTGTAAATAGAACTTTAAACACAAGAACATTTTATGTGATTTACTCATGGTGATATCATGTCACACCCATATATTGGCATGTTTTATCTTTTTATGAGCTTATCATGTCCATAATGGGTAAATAATATGTGTTTACTGTACCACATAAAAATTGATAGTGTAAACAAAGCGTTAGATAATTATATTTGTGAAGGCAGTCAACATGTTAATACTATGCTGTCACTTGAATCAACGTGTGTGTGTGTGTGTGTGTGAACGTGTACTTAAAATTTGCTTCTTTTTATTAGTTAGCACACTTTCGGTATGTTTTTGGATCTTTTTAGACTGTCAATGAATGAGCAATCATTTAGTAAATGTTAGTATTACGAAGACGTAGATTTACTTATGGAGAATAATTACAAAATTACTCTTTTAATTAACTTTAACAGTTGTTGAGATTCCATCAAGAATACTATCCAAAATAAATGATTTCATTTTGATCTGTACACATGGAGTGAACCTTTTCAAAGATCTGGTTAAATTCTGCCCACCGAAAAAATTTATATAAATAGCATGTTTAAAAGTTTAGTTTGATGACACATTCCAAAATGTCCATTACAGGGAGTGATTTATTTTCACACATACAGTAGGACCCATCTGTGCCTGTCTAGAATCTCTCTCCTCTAACTACGACATTATCGAAGAATTATCGGAAAATAACAGCCATGTTGTTAAAATTAATATCTTTATTTTCGATTAAAAAAAAAATATCTACATCAGTATAAAGGTACAATATTTTGATTTTGTAGTAAGAAATACTTAATTATTAAGAGAATTGCTTCCTTGGGCTAAAAGCATGAATACTACCCTTTTCCCTGGCTTTACTGTTTACATTATTTCCTATCAATGATGCAGTAGAGTGCCACATTGAAGCCGAAAAGTCAAAAGTCCACAGCATCATAAGATCTGCCCTCGTGGGTTGTGTTAACTAAAACTGTGATATAGCCAGTCGGCTAAAGAGATTTAACTAGTTGATAAACTTAAAAAATATTAGTGTATTCTGAGTCAAAATTTACAGTATTTAAAATTAGGCTGTTATATATGATTTTAAACTGCTAAACACCCTCTACAGCACACAGCTGATATGCCAGGAATATCAGCCCTATTTATATGCTTCGTTTTCACACATACAGTAGGACCCATCTCTGCATGTCTGGAATCTCTGTTCTCCAACTACGACATTATCGAAGAATTATCAGAAAATACCAGCCATGTTGTTAAAATCAATTTCTTTATTTTCGATTTTCAAAAAAAAAAATATCTACATCAGTATAAAGGTACAATATTTTGGTATTGTAGTAAGAAATACTTAATTATTATTAGAATTGCTTCCTTGGGCTAAAGGCATGAATACTACCAGTAGCCTTTTCCCTGGCTTTACTGTTCACATTATTATTAATCCTATCAATGATGCAGTAGAGTGCTACTTGCTTCCTTGTTCATGGCATCATAAGATCTCACTTCGTGGGTTGTGATTGACCAAAACATTGATACTAGTAGCAAATTGGTTAAAGAAATTTAACTAGTTCATAAACTTAAAAAATATTAGTGAATTCTGAGGCAAAATTTACAGTAGCTGTGATTAGATATATGATTTTAAACTGCTATAAAACCCTGTACAGCACACACTTGATATACCAGGCCTAAGGGCTCTATATGCTTCAGTAATTATACTCCCCTCACAGAAACAATACATTCATTCATATGTAAGTTTATAATGCAATGTGCTCATTTCCAACCAGGTGAGTCCAGCTGGTCTATTCTAAAAGCACTAAATTAGGTTGACATTTTCATGCTTGGGCGGATACAGGGGGGGGGGGGTGTGTGCAGACAGTGAAATCTTACCCCCCTCGCCCTAAATTGTATTAAGAAAAATAATTGTACTGTATTGTTCATAAATTAATTTCATAATTATGAACATAGTACCGTTAAGATTTTTAAAGTATGGAGTGTAATTTCTGGGCACCTAGAGGTTCATATTCTTAACATTTTTTCTAACCTCAGCCCCAACCATGGCTGGCCTGAGGTGGTGTGGACTCTCACACACCCGCTACAGCCAAATCCCGCATCCACCAAAGTCACGTTAGTATTCAGATACTGATAAAAGATTTATGCAGGCCTTATAGAAAATGAATAATCATAATTACTGAATACTGGCCTTATATTTAATAATGCCGCACACCCATCATATTAACAAATTAATCATGAAATGCAAATATTGTTTTGTTGAAACAAATCCTAATGACTAATGCTTATAAAGAATTTTTCATATTATGGTGACTTGTTTTCAAGATTAAATAGCATTCAAACACTTCAATAATTCATGTAAAATAAAATTATTTTGGTACATCTCATCCATAAAACAGCTATCATATTAAAAAATTAATCATGATACGCAAATATCTTTTTGTTAAAACAAATCCCATGATTGATGCTTATAAAGAATTATTATTATTATGGTGACTTGTTTCCAAGATGAAATGGCATTCAAACACTTCAATAATTCATGTAAAAAAAAAATAATTTGGTACATCAACCACTACACATTTCATCAGGGTAGTTTATGAGCGTATGGTAAAGAATGAAAATTATAGCGTTGAAAATAAACTTGGTACTGTACTGTAAAGGCCAATTCGGACAGTGTTGTATGACATTGCCCGGCGAAATTTATCGTCGGAACAGTTTTTAGGTTGCAAAAATGTTTAATACTCCATGACTCGACTGTGCCTGATGTAGACCTATCACATTTACATTTAACTGGCATGTACACCACGGGAAACAGCATTGGCTACGTCGTGCAGCTTCTGATTTGGGCTTAACTGGGGCGAATTTGAAACACTATTCTTAAAAGAATTTCATCTGGCATTATTATTAATAATTTACCTTTGCATAATTATCTGCAAAATAAATTGATTCTTCATTTTATATCATTTGTTTCCTCTGTTGTAAATAATTACATTATCTTTACAAATGCATTTATACCAGGAGGCCCATATTGTATATGCAGCTCCATAAAAATTATCACAGAGAGGTTCATATAAGATTATCCCACAGATCCATATAGGATTATCACTCAGATCCATATAGGATTATCCCACAGATCCATATAGGATTATCCCACAGATCCATATAGGATTATCACACAGATCCATAGAGGATTATCACACAGATCCATATAGGATTATCACACAGATCCATATAGGATTATCCCACAGATCCATATAGGATTATCACACAGATCCATATAGGATTATAACAAAGATCCATATTGGATTATCACATAGTTCCATATAAGACAACATAGCTCCACATAGATTACCATGCAGATCTTTTTACGCTCTCAATATTTATAGCATGTGTTTAAATTTGGAAGCTCTGTTTTTTGCATGATGATGTCATACACTCTCCATATATGGCCATGATGAAATCCACATTGTCCATATATAGGCATGATAATGTCAACATTGTCAATATATAGGCATGATAATGTCAAACGTTGAAAGAGTTGAACTACTGTATGTTAATCACTCTTGCATGACAGTAAAAAATATCACGTTATCATAACCTATATGTGTAAAGCACTCTCCTGGGCTTGCGCTGCGTCGGTTCATTGCAAATCCCGTCACTCAAAGTGAGCCAAGTTTCATCGTTTTCACTACGGCCAGGTAATCGTTTTTATCTTCTTCTTCGGTGAGCTGTCATTTACCGGATTCTGTTGACAAAAAAAAAATGTAGCCATTAATAACAGTCAGTATTTAGGTTATATCTTGGAATGTTGGCACTTTTGCGTATAAAGGAGATAGAAGCTTTTTGCATTATGCGCGTTATTGTAGAGGCAGGTGGCACAGCGGCTCTTGATTTCCAAGCCAGAGTTTGAGGATTAAGCTGGGCACTCAGATTAACATTAAGAATGTTACTCTGCTTCCTGTGGGCAGTGGACTATGTATAGGCCGTCTGCTGGTTTCGGTGGTAGTTTGAATGTATCATCATTAACAACGATCCATTGCGCGTGCATAATGGCATTGCATTCGGGCCCAGTGGGTGCATGGCTTTTACTTGTTTGCATCCTAGGGTAAGGCTCTTCATCTGTATTGCTTCTCTCAAACCAGGAGTTAAATGGTTGGGTTACACGCTACCGCGCTGAATACAGCTGCAATTGTAGAACCTAGTGTTCTAAAAGCATGCTGGTCAAATCAAATACATATTATTACAGTTCCTCAGGTTTAAGCTCGCCCCATTACTTTGCACCCAATTTTACACACTTTTTCTTTAGGCAAACGCCCTGGGTATAATTTGAATGTGTAGCTTAGCTGACGTTTACATAAATGTCAAAAAATATCAAATGTTGGCTCGGAATTAGGCATGCACTGATGAAAAATTGCCTTTTGATTGATAATGAGATTTCCAGGGTATAAGCCAACCCTCCAAAAAAAGGGGGGGGGGGAACTTATACTAGAGGAACTATGATATTTATTTTATGTAACTTATATTATAACAGCATTAATTACCTGTTCTGTTTCTTGTGAAGGCCTCTTTACTGGTAGGGGTTTGCATGCTTTTGGACTGGTTGCTGTCGATGATTTTATGCATTGTTTTTTAATTGCAACAGGTGATGACAGTAATGTTGATGATGATGATACTGAAGATGATGGATTTTTTATCTTTGTAAATTTTCCGTTAGGATGTTCACCCTCTAGCTGACTACTACTGGTTCTCTTCAACTTAGCGATGCGATTTTTGTTGTTGAGTACTACGGGAGGTGGTTTTAATCTGTAACCAGGTGACTGGATATTTGCTGACATGACGAGACCACCTTTCTGAGATGAACTGCAAGAAAATGAAAAATAAAATGGGGATAAATTCTAAAGAAAGTAAACAATCTTTGGTATTAAAATTATTAAAAAATTGATAAATGTTATTGTTAGGGGTACTATTTCAGGAAAATACTCACATATAACTAATAAACAATTAAAAAGTATTAAAATAAACTAATATTTAATCATATTCTCAGTTTAATTTCTCTAGTTAACAGTATCAGTGGTAAATTCCCGGTAAGATTCAAATCAAAACTGTACTGGGTTTTGTCTACAGAAGTTTGTGCTTCAATCAGGTCATTCCATTTTTCACCCCTCTCCCATATTTAGACTAAGGCCTAGTCACACTATGACAATAAAATCGTTTTTACTACTACGATTTTATTGTTTTCCCATGATTATGACATCATTTGATTTGATTTATGAATATGTGTTTCATCGTATACATCATAAGTTGTTATTAAATCGTGCTGTAGTGTGAAAACATCTCTTATTTCTTTTATTTTCTACAGTATGTGAAAATTTTCTTTTTAGCGCTTTATCATTGATCATTTATCTATGCTTATGGCACCTCTAGATGACTGGAAATGGCATGCTCAGACTTAAATTTGAATATAATTTTCTTTTTTCTTTTCCATTTTGCTTTATAGTTTTGAAAAATTAAGAGGACCCAGGCTGGATGGGTCCCCCTTGAATCTGCCACTGGGAATATCAAAACGTACAAATATGAGGAAAAATATTCGTAGAAATATCACTTACGACTGTGCTTTTGATGCAGTTGACTGAGCTGCTGTGAGTAAATTAGGCGTTTCAATAGACTTTGGTTTACGTGATGCAATCTGTTCTTGCGCACTTTTTAGAACTTTCCCAATACGATTTTTAGGCATCACTCTTTGGGGTTGAGGTGTGACTGTTCTATGGAATAAACTGACCAAATCTTCTTTCTTAGATCTGTTGACATCATCAATTATAACCAGTCGCTGTAAAAAAAATAAAAATATTTAAAGGGTGTCCAGATAATTGTTTTCATGCTTCTTACAAGTTCAGTTACTGAAAAATAACTGATCATTATTAAAATACAGGGACTAAAAATAACAAATTATTAATAATTTAATATTAAGATGACCTCAACTTGGCCTATAAAATTGCAATTAAAAGTAAAAATTGCTGGCTTTTTTACAAAAAATTGAATATTAATATTTACTGTATAAATTAGGCAGTGACTAGGAATATGGTACTGTACGCTATCTCAGGAATGGTGAGTGTTCCTAGCTGCTGATAACTCCAACCTTTGTCATTACCAAGATAGCGTAGGTACTGTACTGCACCTCAAGACCCATGCATCATATTATAATGTAATACTCTTGCTGCTATTACAGTGATCACAAAGGTTCCATGCTCTACTATTTTGAGTGAAATAATAAATATTGTTCAATAGACATATACTGTATTAAAATGTAAAAAATAAAAGTAAAAGAGAATCAAAACTGAAATATAATTTACATCATGCTTGCATCATCTTTATTAGTCTTTATACGGTAACAGGTCAAAAAGGCAAAAAACCAAAATGGCAAACAAACCAAAACGGCAACACTTTTAGACCAGAACGGCAATGGACCAAAACAGCAATGAAAGTGTACAGCGATAAGTGAAAATGAGGCTAAATTGTCAAAGAAGTAAAAAACATGAAAGAAGAACAACATTAATAATAATAATAATAATAATAATAATAATAATAGTATAACATACAAATTGAATAGTAAAAAAATTGGTGGAATCACAATATAAAAGCAGTAAACATTTAAATAATTAAAACTTTAAAATACACACAAAATGAGGCTAAACTAAACAATTTATGTCATAAAAGTAAAAAAGCGCGAAAGAAAAAAAAAATTTAAAGAATAACAATATTAATAATAATAATAATAATAATAATAATAATAATAATAATAATAATAATAATTAAAAAAAAAAAACGATTTAGAAAATTATAAACTGCTGCCCGTGCCCGGTGGCGCTTCAGTCTATTGCCGTTTTGGTAGTTGACATTGCCGTTTTGGTTTGTTGCCACTTTGGTACTTATCATTGCCGTTTTGGTCATTGCCGTTTTGGTTTTTTGCCGTTTTCTCCAGAAACCCTTTATACATTTATCGCAAAATCAAACATGAAAAATTTATCTGCATTTATTTTTTGTGTGGAACACAAAAAATCTAATTTCAGTCTTATTTTACATTTTTTTTAATGAGGAATGGCAAAATTTAGTAAACTAGCAATTCCGTATTATATTTATAAATCTTTATAACATTATACAAAAATTAGATTTTTCTTAACACCTGAAATTTTGCCGGGAATGGGGCTTTAATGCACTAGGCCTACAGCATGACGTAAGATCGGCGTAGGCCCTAGATGCAGCCACTTTTGTTTTAAAAATAGTTTGTTTTAGGCCTATTTTAAATCACAAGATTTTCAGTCAGTAAACAAAAAGACATAGGCCTAGACCTTGCCTGTTTTGCACACTAATCTACCAGACAATAATTCAGCTGCTCTCAGTTCTAGGCCTAGGGAATGCCTAGGAGGATGGTGTGGGCTTAAAGCAGAGCTGGGAAGGCAACCAGGAGAATCGAGCATTGCATTCGTCTCGCTCGAGGTAGTCTGTTGTTGTTGGCTGATAGTGTTTTGCAGAATGCCTAGCCAGAGAGCATGGCCTGAATAAATTTTTCAGCCACATGACATGAAAAAAAGAAAAAAGAAAAAAAAAACGATACTCCTACCTGTTGTAAAATATGAATTAATGATTCTTCTGATAAGTTCTCTGGATTTAATAAATTGAATAATTCTGAGCCACTTTCTTCTGTAACATTTGTCATCGTGCCGCACAACAACAACAAAATCAGTGTGAACACACTGAGAGAAATCAAAATTCCCAAGAAAAATTCCAAGTCATTCCAAAAATCCTAAGATTTAATAAAAAGTAAAAAAAAATCCCAAGACCCCAAAGTGTCATAAAAATCCCAAGATCTTGGAGTAAATCCAAGCAGTGTTCAAGGCTCAAGCTGAACAAAATAAGCACGATATTTATGTCATAGACTTTTTTCATCCGTCTTTCCTTTCCTGGCGGTGCATCATGTTGAAAAGCAAAGATTGAAAATTAACGACTGGATAATAAGGCGACTACATGCAGTATGTTGTTAAAGATGGCGGCAATAACGGCGCTGCAAACCTACGCTTCTGACGGCGACAGTGAAACAGAAGAACAGGACCATGATTCTATAGCACATTTAAAGCCACTAGAAGAGGGTAATTCTGTAATGAAAATTCAGAAGCGGATGATGCTCAACTCAGCACCTGTTGTGGATACAAAGGTACTGTCTAGGCCTAGGCCCCTATAATAATATAGGCCTAGCTAGGTAGGCCTACTAGGCTACTACTAGTAGTAGTAGTAGGCCTAGGCTAGGCTAGGCCTAGGGAGGGGTAGGCCTCCTAGGCCTAGTAATACAATAGTAGGCTTACTGCGCCCTGGCTTATCCTAGTAGGCCTACTAGTTAGCTAGGCAGGCTGCTGTGTGTGTGTGCGTGTGTGTGCGTGAATGGATGGGAACAGGTCAAAACGGCAAAAAAAACAAAACGGCAATAAGTCAAAACGGCAATGACCAAAACGGCAATGCCAAAACAGCAAAAAACCAAAACGGCAAAAAACCAAAACGGCAACACTTTTAGACCAGAACAGCAATGGACCAAAACGGCAATATATCAAAACGGCAAGACCAAAACGGCAATAAGTCAAAACCCTCAATCAATAAACCAGTTGACCTTAAACAGTAGGCAACACCATTAATAATTGAATTACCGAATCAACAATAGTTTGCTTTTAAAACGCCTTTTTTAAAATTAAAAGGTTATTGACCCCTCTCTTGATTTCGCACCTTATTCATGAACTTTAAGGTGCTGTTAACTCGTATTTACCTCGGTTTGATGGTTTTATTTTAACTGCTATACTAATATAACAAAAAAAAAGTACAACTGAAATAAAATTAACAGACCATAATTCTGATTCAATATTTATTTTGGTATATCATCAGTTCATCATCAAAACATTGTACAAAACAGATAGAATTCGCACAGTACATGGCAGGACAAAAAAAATATTAATATAAAAGATGATGGAAGGATGGTCTATGAAAGTTTTCTTTAAGAAGTAAAACTTAATTCCAATTTGGCACTCACAAAACCAATTATAAACATGAAAGTGTACAATAATAATAATAATTATTAATTATTATTATTATTATTATAATAATAAAGAATAACAACATTAATAATAAAAATAATAATAATAATAATCATAATAATAATAATAATAATAATAATAATAATAATAAAAATAATAATAGTAATAATAATAACAATAATACAACATACAAATTCAATAGTAAGAAAGATTGGGGAACACAATTAAAATATATACAATATAAAACCATTTAACATTTAAATAATTAAAAACCTTAAAATACAGATAATATGAGGCTAAACAATTTATGTCATGAAAGTAAAAAATGGGAAAGAGAAAAAAAAAATTTAATAAATAACACTTTAAAATAATGAAATAATTCATCATGAATGTGTAAAAAAAACCCCAAAAAACAAAAAAAACTATTCACAGGGTTCGTACATGTCCTTAAATTCCTTGAATGTCCTGGAAAAACAAATGAGCATTTTCCAGTACTAGAAAGTCCTGGAAATATAAGATTGTCCTTGAATGTCCTGGAAATTTGATCATTTACCATTAATTGCAGTAAGCTACAAGTTGCCTAGTAACAGTAAATTGAATGTGAAACGTTCCCACCAATACACCGCCAATTCAGGAATGTTATCAAAGAATGTCATTGCTGAAAATGGCTGACTGGCTGGTTCAGACAAACTTGTGCGATTCAGTGAATGGAGTTGTATATTAATTATGTTTACATTTAATTTTAATTCAGACATTGATAATCATAATCGTTAACTTTGTTGACATCTGCTATGGTGTTATTTGCTTTCTATTGTGTGTTATAAACAGTACTGAAATATTAAACTTGGACTTTTAATCAGTTGAACAGGTCTTGTCGCACGTGCTCAGCCCGGTGAATTCGCTTTGGGTAATTCATCACTCTCCAGGCGTGCACACTTGTTCAGCACGAATGGGCATGTTTTGGCCCTATCAAGCGCAAGGCAGTTAATGAACAATTAAGTAAATATGGGAACGTGTAATTCTACAGTTATTTTCTTAGTAAATGGTATTTAAAGGGCGTTTACTGTTTAAAGTTCTTGAATTTAGGGCAAGATATTTCATTAATTATGTTAAAAGTTTACAAAATCATTGAAAAACAATGCTGGTCGGCAGCAGATCAGTGCCGGTACGTAGGATGGTGCCGTACGTTTCCGCAATGTACACCCATCGAAGGGATTGTTTTACTGTATATAATGTCAGCTTCACCACAGCTGTTCGCTGAATTCAACAACCATGGACACCCCGCGGCGCCACAAACACACTGTCGCGTTTAAGCAATGATAAGACCATTTTTGTACGCGCACATTTACTGACGAGAGGAGAATTCTACTTCACTATAGGCGATCACCCTTGCCTTAGGCCTATTTTACCGGTACTTCCCAATACTTGTGAGAATTCCTTTGCTTACCGTCAAATTTTACACATGTGATAAAAACCTAATTTCCCACGAGCGTGAGAAAAAGAGACAGGTCCATCGCCTCCGAATTAGAGTTTGATAAAACTTAATATACACTCAACTAACATGCATTTAAAAGTAGTACAGGATATAAGTTTTATAATCACTCAGTCGTAAAATAGCCGATATTTTACTGTATTAAGCTATATATTGTGTCCTTGAAAGTTGGAAAATTTGACCTTGAATGTCCTGGAATTGTCCTGGAAATTTGCTTGTTTAAAAAAAATTATAAACTGCTGCCCGAGCCCGGTGGCGCTTCAGTCTTGGCATTGACTTTTGCTCCTTTGCCGTTTTAATCTATGCCTATTGCTGTTTTGGTAGTTGACATTGCCATTTTCGTCTGTTGCCGTTTTGGTATGAATCATTGCCATTTTGGTTTATTGCCGTTTTGTTTTTTTGTCATTATTGGATTAGTCTATCCGCTCTTTTTTTTTTTAAAGGAAGTGTATATTATGCCGGCGCCGGAAAATATGCCAAAATTGATGTAATGCCGGTCTATTTCTCTAAATGCCTAATGTAAATTATGACTTCATCATACCAAGACCGCCGTGAACGAAGGATCAGGAAAAAAGCACGAAAATCCGAACACCATTGCATGGCTGATAAATGTCTACAGATTTAGTGATAATTTTTTTGGATGTCGAAACAAATTTGAAGGAAACCAATGCATTAAATTGTTGCTGTGAATCTCACAGACCATCGCCGCAGCTCAGAAAAGGGGGCTGAGAAAAAGATATAGCCTAGGTCAAGACATTGCTGAACAGAGACATTCCCGCTAGTACTGACAGTGACAGAGACGATTGTGGTTAGTAAAGCAGACCTACCTTCTTGCCAGCCTAGGGTAGGCTAGACAAAATTAGATCCATCCAACCTCCGCGACCTCAGCTAGTGATTATTGGAGATTCATTCCACTGAGTATAGGGCGGATAATTGTTGGTGCATTTTTTTGAAGTGCAGCACATGATGATTGTCTTTAATCGATTGATGATGCTAGACTGAGACTGCTCTGACTGAGACAGACTGTACATCTTACTTTCATCATCACTGATAATCCACAGTGTAATTATAGGCTTAGGCCTATGTTTTTTTTTTTTTGTAGGATTCTATGATTTTCCCCCTACGGGTATGGTATATATCCAAGCAGTGTTATTTGTATTTTGGGACAGTCTTACAGTATATTCAGTGGTGGGTCTACAGGGCTGGGAGAAAAACCCCAATTCGTCAGGGAGAAAAAAAATTATTTTTAATTTGTACACATTTAATAGACAATATAAACCTTTGAAACCTGTCCTCTCAATTGCCATATTTTTTTTGTGGGTGGGGGGGTTTGAGGGCTTTCCCTGGACCACTTTCAAAAAGTTTTTAGCGACGCTCGACCACGCCCACTTTGTTCTTGTCGGAGACATCAGCCCCTCCATCAGGATACCCATGAAGCTTATCAGTCTTTTGACCTGCTCTGTATTTTCATTCCTTTTCTCATTTGTGTATTAAATTTTGTTTTATATTTGTCCAATACTTTATGTATTTCTTTTTTAAAGTATACTTTGAAATGTTATTCAAATAGTAATACTAAGTACTGTCAACCTAAAAGTACAACAAGCCAACAAATCACTATTGTCTCTATTCAATTTTTATTGCTACATATAAATGTCATGTATTGTTTCATACGACTGATACAATACAAGGGGAACAAGACTATATCATAATATACAAACAATAGTGTTGAAGTATAAAACGATTCCTCTGAGTCAGACTGACTTTGAAAAACATGCATTATTGCATTAAAGGGCCAAGTGCGGGGATGAGACAAGTCGTCATATATTGCTTATTTGGGCTGTTTTACAATCAGGGAACACAAGTATGTTTCATAGAGGGTCAAAATTGAGGCATGTTTTTGAAGCAGTCAGGAGAAACTTTTTTCAACACTAAAAATTATACCAATTTAATAACGAATTGTATACCTTTCCAACGGTATAACTACTATAGCACAGTATATGAACATATATTTCTTAGAAAACCATGTTGAACTACTTGAACTTTTTTCAACACTAAAAATTATACCAATTTAATAGCGAATTGTATACCTTTCCAACGGTATAACTACTATAGCACAGTATATGAACATATATTTCTTAGAAAACCATGTTGAACTACTGTACTTACACTCGTCAAAAATTGGAATTGACTTCATAAAGTGTTTTATAAGTTTGACAAAAGTACATGAATGTACACCTAATTATATTATAGGAATGCTTGAGTACATATTATATATCATCCCAAAATTTGTTATATTAGTTGCATTTTGAAGATAATGCATGTCATA